AGGGGTTCGCCGAGGCGGAATGCGGGGAGCCCGCGGGCCTGGCGCCGGAGAGGGCTAGGTAGGAGGGGCCGTGGGCTGTAAGGGCAGATGTGGCGGAGGCTGGGGAAAGTTTGGGGGCCAAGGGTGTGTGGCAGAGGTGAGGTGGGAGGTTGTGGCAGAGACTGGGGTAAGACTGGAGGCATGGAGCTTCCTGGGGGCAGTGAGGTGTGCGACAAGGGGAGGTGAAAGAAGGTTGGGGTGACAGCGTCTCTGGTAGACACGTAGCAGGAGAGGTTTGGGGGGCAACTGTGAGAGAATGGGATGGAAGTTTGGGGTCATGAGGAGGGGAAGAAATTAAAAATGGAGACATACAGGAGAATGAGGTTTCTGGACCAGAGTGAAGAGTTTGGGGGTGATTGATGTTGGGGAAAGACTAGGGAATGTAAGGATTTGGAAGAGTGACAAGTCTAGAGATGTCATGTGAAGAGAAGGGAAAGCAAGAGGAACCTTAAGAAAGGATGAAGGAGGTGGGACCAGATGCATATTCCAGGGGGACCACGTTCTGGGCGGGACAGGAGGGTGGAAGACACCCTCGTTCTGGGGGTTAGGGTTTCTAAAAGGGCTGAGGAGGGTGGGTAAGACCAAGTAGATAGAATGAGGTGGAGGGGTCTGGGAAAAGATTAGAAGGAAATTTAAGATAGACAAGGCCTTTGGTGGCAGTATGGAGGAGGGAAGGTCAGTGATGGGGAGGAAAAGCCAATGGAGATGGGAAGGGAAACCAGAAGGAAATGGTAGAGATGGGGAGGCCAAGCCCCAGTGTAGGGAAGGCATTCGTTTATAGGAGTGGGACACCATCCTCAGGCCCTCTGCCAGGCTGTAGCTCCATTTTCCTTCTCGAATCTGTTCGAAGTCATCACTCATGGTACTTTGGGCCACAGGGTCGGGTCAGGTGGGGATTAGTGTGGAAACAACCCCAGGTGCCCTGGTTCCCCAGTCGCAGTCACTAATGTGGAGACAATCCCTCCACAGACTGCGGGCTCTTCCTCCTCCGGGCACTGCCTTCCAGGCAGCCTCTGACTCTGACAGCACCCCCCCCCATTCCATCTTCAGCCATGAACCCAGCAACCCCCAGTCCACCACCAGTGTCTTCTGGGCCCTTTCCCTGTCCCATACCAAGCTGCAACATCTCCCAGGACAAAGGACACTAGATGCTTGGTGATTTTTGGCAGCTGAGATTGGGAAGGCCCGGGAGAACAGGAGGGAGGCAAGCTGGGAAACAGGAAGAGCTGGAGCTGGAGTATGGATCTGGATTGAGAGCCCTCAATAGCGCTCCAGATTTGGGGTGGGGGTGGGGTGTGTGTGTAGCCAAGCTGGCTAGAGGCAGAGGGATGGCCCTGAAGGCAGAACCCCGCCAGCCTTCTGGAGAGAAAGGAGGTTGGCTTTGTAGCAACTAGTAGATTTTGCCTCATGTTTCTTAGGGCCAGGCTCAGCCAAGTTCTAGGAATACCCAAAAGCTCTAAACGGATTCTAAAGCACTGGGGACCTGAGCCGGAAGGCTTCCTTGGCTTAGGAATGAATCACCACTCTTCAGACACTTGAATTGGTTGGCACTCACTTTATTACCCCAGGCCCACCTTCCGCATCCCTCAGGGCCTTCCACAGAGCCCCGCCCCACCCCACTGCCCACTCCCTTCCTCCTCCACACCCCCTAACTTTGTTCCAAGACTCCTCCCCACCTCCCCACCCCCCAGTGCATTTCCTCTTTGCACTTCTCAGTGCAGTCCCCCACTGGGCTCTGGCCCAGGCCCTTCTTAGCTCCCAGGCAGCGCTCTTCTCCCTCCTTTTTTAACCACTAAGGGATGGGCTAGGATGGTGACACATCTGAGCCTAAAAGAAAAATTTAGGCATTGATAGGAACAGGGGGTGGGGAGAGTGAGGAGAGAAGGCAGGGCCTCCTCCTTCCAGTTCCTCCCCTACCTGGGACCCAGGCTCCCAATTCTGCTTCAGGGAGCATCACACACACCCCGTCATCCCTCACTGGCTCCCTCTCTGGCCCCAGCCCCCCACAACCCACTGGTCTCCAGGCAACAGCACAGAAAGAAAGTGGTGAGAGGGGCCTGGGAGGCCCAGGCAGAGCTAGCTGTAACCCAATCCAACCCAGTACCTGAGGGGTTGGATTGGGGGAGTAGTTGGGGGGGGTTGAGGGGGTGGCTGCCAGAGAAGGCCACCTAGCAAAGGAGGGAGGAAAGGGCAGAGGTTAGGAAATGTGGTTCCAACCAGAAGGGCCCTGGTCAGTCCAAGATTACTGAAGAACAGCAGACATGATGGACCCCAGAAAAGCACACCGTGCCCAAGGGAAACAGAAAGGGGCACAGCAGACAGCAGAGAAGGGAAAGCTGAGATGCCCCCACTGGAGTGAAGAGGTTTAGAGAGGGCAAGGAGCTATTTGAACTTAAAATGGCTGAGTTGTCAGCAACATAGGAAAGAGAAAAGCAGAGAAACGGATCCTCCCTGTACAGAACTGGAATCCTCTTCCAGTCCTGGAGCCCAGCAGGATGGCAGAGGGGGCCCAGAACCAGAACTCAGAGAAGAAACAGAGTGGGAGGCCCACAGAGGGAGCAACCTTGAAATTCCTCCCACCTCACCCCTGGCCCGGGTGCAGGCCACGTCCTGCAGAACCTTTACTCCCTCTAGTGGCCGCAGCTCCCCACCGCCTGAGCCATCTGGGCCCTGGTATCCCAGCCCTGTGAGGGGGCTTCTCCCCCAGGGGGTTCTGGATTCCCATCTCAACGCTGAGGCCCTGCTGGAGCTGAAGACTGACAGTGGGTCTCTGGCCACACACCAGCATCCTACCGGCAGGCTGACCCAGCCCGCCAGGTCCTGAACCTCCCGTTTACAGGAAGGCTGAGTTTCCTCAGGCCTCCTCCAGGCCCCCTGGTCCATTCTTCCCTCCCCAGGTCCCCACCTTGCAGGGGTGCTGCCTGGGCTGGGCTGTCCTGTCCCAGAAGCAGCCAAGATGGTGTCTGGGAGAGGGCCAGTAAGGAGCTGCTCCAGCCTCATTCCTTCTTTGGTTAAGGCCCTTGGCCAATCCAGAAATACTTTGGACCCTTTTCTCCAAAAATGCATAAGCACAAAATTTTTGATCCTTTTAGGATTCCTGGACCCCAGGTTAAGAACCCCTAATTCACCTGGGTCCTGGCACCCAGGCTTGCTGCTAAGGCAAGGCAACGTGCTCCCCACCTGGCCAGGGCAGGGTAGGCAGTGCCATCCTCCTGGCCATATTTGTTGGGTTTCTTCCTCTTTTTGTTTCCTCCCCATCTCTGCTATCCAGTTTCACCGATTTCCAGGAGCTCCATCTTCTGTCCTCTTGTGTAGACTAGAGTAAGACTCCTCAGACACACTAACGCACGGTGACTCAGACTTTAATGGTGGTGCTCATTTCAACGCCACAGAGGTGCTGGCAGCTGTGGAACACGGCACGGAGGGGAGTGAGACAGTGCTGGGGTGCAGCTGGAGGAAGAACGGGGAAGCTAGGGCCAGGGAGAGAGGAATGGGGGAGAGCCCCCAGGCGCACAGCCCCACCTCTGGACCGAGCCAGGCTGCAGTTAAGGCTTGGAACACACAGGAACTGTCATCATTCAGTTACCCTTCCTGTTCCAGCAAGACCCCCACCCCAGGCTATATGGGAATCTACAGTCACATGAAATACAGACACAGAACCCCCTCCAGTCAGGCCGGTCTCTGGCCCTGGAGTTATGGGGAAGTGATTCATTAACTAACAAGATGAATGAAAAATAAATAAATGAATAAATTTTACCCTAGAGCCTCCTTCGGCCAGGCACGAGCACGCAGCCAGCACAGACCTCCCCTCCACTGAGCACTCAGCGCAGTTCTGCCTCATACAGATTACAGAAACACGACCAGCACAAAGGACACGTGACGCATGCCCCCTCTGTAAACAAATACCACAGCAACTGACTCTGACACTCCGTCTCAGACCCTGATCGGCCCTCCGTGGATGCCCTTAAAACCCTCAGTCCATGGCCAGTTTTTGAGGAGGGAGAATGGAAAGGAAGGAGTGGAGAGTTTGGAACCCAGAGACGGGGCGAGCGGAGACAGCAGGGGCTGGACCAGCCAAGGAGCATCGCAGCAGGTCAGCTGGGGTGTCTGGGGTGAAATTTCGAGCAGGACCAGAAGGAAGAGCTTCCAGGAGGAGGGGTGAGGGGTTCCAAGTCTCCAGGCCGGTAGGGGAATCACAGCACGCTGGGATTGCGGAAATTATGTCCCGCGAAGCGAGCTTCATCCCCCAGCTCTTCTTCAATCCTGAGAGATAAGCCAAAAAAGAAGCATCAGGGGAGCAGTGGTACCCCTGCCTCTCTTTCCAGGAGGCCGCCATTCTCCAAGCCCCTCACACCATCCGCTCCTGGATCCTGGACTGAGCCAGGGCATTCCCTGGCTTTTCATGGGCCATCAGTCAGGCCATCTGTAAACACATCATTGAAAAACAAATATTTTCTGGATGCCTCCAGTTCTCCAGGCCCTGGGCACTGGAGATGAAATGGTGGGCAAACAGAGCTTTGAGCCCTCTGGTCCCTTGGCCCCCGTTCCCCGAGGTTCCCTCACCTCATGAGTTGGTTGTACTTAGCCAGACGCTCGGAACGGCACGGGGCACCAGTCTTGATCTGAAACATCCCAGAAGATAAGTAGCTCAGTGGCTGCCCCTTCGCTCCCTGAAAGAAAATCTATACTCCCTTGAAATTCCCCCAATACCTGCAGACACCTGGAAGGAGAGACTCACCTGAGCCCAGAACCCACCAGCTGCACAGAGGTCTCCCTCACACTCACCTGGCCTGTGCACAGTCCCACCACCAGGTCAGCGATGAACGTGTCCTCAGTTTCTCCTGAGCGGTGACTCACCATGACCCCCCCAGCCGTTCTCCTGGGCCAGCTTGCACCTGCAGCCACACAGCAGCACTGGGCCCCAGCCCCCGACACCTGCACTCTCTCCCCCACCCCAACATCGGTCAGGAAACATCTGGACGGAGCAGAACCAGGAGGGCCATGAAGGTGACTCCAGGATTCTGGGGGACGGTGGGGGGCAGGAGAGGAAGGGGGCCACTTGCAAGAGGCATCCCACAGAAATGAGCTGAGTGGGAGAAGGCCGGAGGGCACTCACGCTTGGATGGCTTCTGTAACCGAACCGATCTGGTTGACCTTCAGCAGCAGGCAGTTGCAGGCCTTCTCCTCCACAGCTCGCTCGATTCGCTTTGGGTTGGTCACAGTCAGGTCATCACCCACAATCTGGATCCCCACATTGGCCGTGAACTTCGACCAGGCAGACCAGTCATCCTGGTCAAAGGGGTCCTCAATGGAGACCACTATGGGGAAGAGGTGAGGGGGCTCTGTGTCAGGCCGGAGCACCCCCGCTTTGACTCCCTGAATGGATAGATGAGACCCCCTGGCCGACTGTGCCTCCGCACCCCCACTTCCTGCCCCCCCTGAAATAATCCTGCCTTGACTGATTCTTATCTTGATTCTTTCCTAAAACCTTTGAAAAAACAAAGATTTAGAAACTTGCTCACAATCTGTCTTTGCATTTTTCTATTTTCTACCAGGAGGCCCTTCCTTGTTGCTGTTCTAAATCCTTCATTCTGCAAGTTATGTCTGTTTTCTCTCACTCAGTCTCAGGAAGATGGAAACCAGCTGCCTCCATCCATGGGCAAAAGGCCCCAGGAGACCTGGAGCAGGTGATTCAGCTCCCCCTCGGCCTCCTGTTCTAGCCACACGTGGCTCCAGCCCCACTCAGCACCCAGTTGTATCAATCAAAGAATTTGAACTGTGCTAGTTCCCTGCCGGATCCGGTCACTCTCTCACCGTGCCTGGCTCCTTCCACACCCTCCCCACGACCTCAGCAGCAGTTTCAGAGCTCGTGACTTTACTCAGGATCCAAAGCAGATGGAACAGATTCATCACAGGTCCCTGCACATTTACACGATGGACAAAGCCCAGCCTGCAGGAGGCTTCTTCACCCGTCTCTGGTTCTTAGGACATATCTACCTGGCCCCTGAAGCAGCATCCCATAAGGTCCAGAGCTGCTCTAACACATCCTGCCTACCCTCTCCCGTCCCCCTGCCCTCTCAGCCCCAGTCCTTGCTCTCACCAGGATAGTCCCTGACAAAGTCTTGGTAGAGAGCCCCTAGCTGGTCCGCAGTGATGTATCGGGAAGGATCAGCAGGAGACTTGAAGTCCAAGTCATATTTGCCATCACGATAAAACTCCGAGGCAGCGACATCCATGCCAATGACAATCTTTTCCGTGTAGCCAGCCTTGTCAATGGCTTCCTTCACCAGCTCTAAGGCTGTGGGTGGAATATAGTGAGATCACCAGCAGGAAGGGTGCATGAGGAGGAATGAGAGACAGAAAGAAATTCAGAACAGAGGTGGAGGGTTGTGGCTGGGAAGAGATCTGGTGGAGGTGGTTTTGGGGCTATCCCAAGGTCTGGGACGAGCAGGCCGCCTTCAAGGAAGACAGAGGAATGGGATGCTGTTAATAATAGTTTTTTTTTTTAAATAGCTATCATTTATTGAGGGCTGTGTCACCTAAGCACTTTACACATATGATCTTGTTTAATCCTCACAATGATGCTAAGAGGTAGATACTGTAATGATTCCCATTTTACAGATAAGAAAGACAAGCACAGAGAGCACAACCGAGTGAGCAAGGTCACCAGCCAGGAACTCTTTAAGTCAAGATGCAAATCCAGGCAGTTTGGCTCCAGAACATTAACTCTTAGCCATGACCTGTCTGTATTGTTCTCATCACTATAAGGTTTCTCCCAGGGTAGAGAAAAATTAAGAATCCTAGAGGCCTACGAGGTTGGAGTGGGAATGGGATACATTTGGAGTGTATTCCCTGGAGTCTGGTGTATCTCATCAAACTGAGAATCCATCAGAGTTAAAGGCTGGGATGGATCCCACAGACTACCTCCCGGCACTGCCAGGGGCTCCAGTGGGAACTGGCAGATGCTAACGGATCTGTCTGGGCAGGTAAAGACTGTCCTTTTAGGCCTGCATGTGAATCTGTTACGCCGTCTGGCACCCACTCCGAGGACTGGTACCTCTTGGAGTTAGTTCATGGACCCTCCTGCATCTTCCTTGGGACTTGGTGAAGTGGGTGGCCCTCCCTGATGTCCCAGGATGGAGTGAGACTTAGAGCTGGGAGTGTGGCTCCGGGCCTCACCTTCACTGTTCTCCAGGATATTGGGGGCAAAACCACCTTCATCTCCCACATTGGTGGCATCCTTGCCATACTTGTCCTTGATGACACCCTTGAGTGTGTGGTAGACCTCCGCCCCGAGTCGCATGGCATCCCGAAAGCTCTCGGCGCCCACAGGGAGGATCATAAACTCCTGCATGGCCAGTTTGTTCCCAGCATGAGAGCCACCGTTGATCACATTGAAGGCCTGGGAGCCGCAAGCGGATGGGAAAGTCACAGAGCACTTCCTTCTCTGCCCCTGGGAGTCTCAACCCAAGATCCCAGACTTCCTCCAGCTGCCCAGACTCAGGGTCTCCTGTCCCCATCCTTTCTCTTTAGCTGCCCCAATTCACTTTCCTCCCTCCCATCGGTCCTTGCAAGGTCTCCTGCTCCCTCCCTACCCACCCTTGGGAGAGGCACAGGCAGGAGGCAGTGCTCACCGGCACAGGCAGGATGAGGTCTGAGTTCCCAGCCAGCTGAGCAATGTGGCGATAGAGGGGCAATTCCCGCTCGGCCGCCCCTGCCTTACACACGGCCAGGGACACACCCAGGATGGCGTTGGCCCCAAACTTGGCTAGGAGATTATAGAGGAAGGCACTGAGCAAACATGTCCCCTTTCCCTTCTAGCCCTGGCCTCCACCTATACTCCCCAGAAGGAACCAGTAAAGGAGACCCCCTCCTCCCTCTCCACTCCTGCAACTCCTCATTCATCCTCTTCTGAAAATAGCAGGGGCAGGGGGCGGGGATGACTGGAAAGGGTGGAGAGCTGTAATTATTCCTAAACATCCCTGAGACCACAGACTTCTGCTGCCAACTCCCCCTTCCTTATGCTGCAGAGTTCTTCCTTCTGTCTAATGTCACTCCCTCCCACTGCAGGGCAACTCATCTTCTCTTGCTCTGGCTTTGGGAGGAGGCCACAGGAAAGGCTGGTCCTTCCAAAGAAGCCCTCACAGCATTGGCCCTTCAGCTGTCTGTCTGCCCCTCTCATGCCCACCTGCACACCCCCGCTTTCTCCCAGCCCCCGCTTACACTTGTTCTCAGTCCCATCCAAGTCCAACATCAAGTTGTCCAGCTTCTCCTGTTCCACCACAGAGAGACCCTGCAAACAGAGCCTCCATCACCCAAGGCTGGGATGGAGACTGGACCCTAAGATAGAGGGGACCCCCATCCACAAACAGGCTCACATCCAGCCAGGGTCCAACCAGGTTCCTGAGACAGCAGCCTGTCTGGATTAGGGGACCTGAACCCCCATGGGAACAAGGAGCACCCTTCCCTTGGTAACCATGATCCGAAGAGGTGGGCCTTTCGCCCTTTTCTTCACCCTCCCCTAATCTAGGATCCCTTCCAGGACTCTGGTCCTGCCATCCCCAGCAAAGAGTGGGCCTCACTGAGCTGATGAGGGCCGGGGCGATGGTGGTGTTGATGTGGTCCACTGCCTTCATGACACCTGGGGAGAGGTAGAGAGGCCATGCCAGGTCAAGCTAGGAGGAGCCAGAAGGGAAAAGGTGGGGGGATGGCATGCAGGAAGAGGGCTGGGGACTGGTGTGAGGTAGGAATATAACGCTGAGGAATGCGAGAGCCCAGAACAGAGAAAGGGCCTCACCTTTGCCTAAGTAACGCTGTTTGTCCCCATCCCTTAGCTCCAGGGCCTCATAGATACCAGTGGAGGCTCCGCTGGGCACTGCAGCCCGGAAAAGTCCTGGGAGGGGCACGTGGAATGAGGAGGAAGACAGGACACCACAGGGACCAGGGATTCCTTCAGCCTCCCAGCTCCACATTCCCACCTGCGACATCCAGCCTTCTCCCACACTGCTCCTTAACACACACACACAAACTCATACAGAGGCAGATGCACAAGCAGTGACCTCTTCATCTGCCCAACTGAGGTGCCACACGGAGAAGTAGGAACCCATGGAAATGAAGCAGGCAGCACACACACACACACACACACACACACACAGACACACACACACACACAGACACACACACACAGTGCACACGCAGAAGTGCAGAGGCAGAAACCAGAACGCAGAGGCAGAAACTAGAACCCAGAGGCCAGCCTCTACTGGTTCCCTTGGACAGGAATGATCCAGCCCCCACAGTCCGGGCTTGTGAGCCTAGCCCAGCACCCCATCCCCACCAGGAATCTGGGAAGCCTCCCCTCCCAGGCCAGGGCAACCCAGCATGAGGGCTGTGGGAAGGCCTTGCCCGTTACCTTTGGCAGTGTAGAGATCCACCTCCACCGTGGGATTTCCACGGGAGTCCAGGATCTCCCGGGCCCAGATCTTCTCGATGGACATGATGGCTGGGATCTTAGGTGGAAGGGAAGGAAGGAGAAAGCTAAGAGGCTTAGAGGGGTGGAGCCTGAGATCAGTGGGAGGGGCCGGACGGTGGGAGGCCGGGAGGGATGGGAAAGTGGGTACTGCAGTGGGTGGGGGTGGGGAGGAGCAGGTTGCGGCCGTCGGCTGTAGAAGGGATCCCCCCCGCCGTGGGGAGAGGAGAAGGTCAATGCAGTGAGGAAGGGGAGGTCACTGCGGTGAGGGGCGGGGTAAGAGTAAACGCCGAGAAGGGAGGACACCGCAGTGAGGAGGGGAGGGGCAGCGGTTCCCTCGCCCCCTCGGCAGCTGCAGCAGCAGCCGGCTGGTGGGGTTCCCCCAGATCTCCTCAGAGCCGTGTGGCTGCCAGCCTTGCCTGTCTCCGTGGAGTCAGAACATGGGTTGCCTGGACAGCTGGGGCCTGTCCTCCGGAGCCCCCATCTCAGCCAATTTAACACCCTAGCCCCCACTCCTGGGTCCCAATCTCGTCCCTCCTCTTCCGGAGAGATGTACAGTAGAGAAGTCTGGAGAGAGGGTCCTCAGTCTCTGGGGGTTGCAGTCGGGAGGGAGGGGGAGGAGAGATACGTGGGGAGAGGCAAACCTGGGCCAACCCTCCCCTCGACCCCTAGGCAAATTTCCCCCCGCCTCCCATCCCTCCCCCGTGCAGTGGAGAGCAGCACCGTAATGGGAGAGAGCAATGCGGGGGAGGAGTGGGAGAAAGGGGGTCTAGAGGAAGTCTGGGGATGCTGAGGAAGGATGAGAGAAGACATTTCCCCGATGCAAAGCCAAGGGACATGCCAGGATGAAAATGCACAGCCCTGAGAGACCATGAATTTAAAACATCGACAGAGGCGAAGACGGGCATGGGGAGGGGGCAGGCAAGGGTAGAGAAGGGCGCAGTTAGAGACACACAGGTGTGGAGAGGCCTGGCGCCCTAATGAGGAAGGGGCGACCTCCTGAAACCGACCGGCCGGGGAGGCCAGGAAAGGAGGGGGTGCCGGGGAGGCGCGGGTGATGGAGCAGGTGCGCAGCGCCGCGGGGCAAGGGATGCGCGAGGCAGGGGAAGAGGGGCGGGGGCGCAGCGGC